CCTTTCCGGGATCGAATGTTTCCATCGGGGGCGTCAGGCAGATGCTGTCTTATAGCGGGAGACTCCCAGAACGTTCGGGAGAGTTGGGATGTCTGCTCAAAAGCACCTCCATTGCACTATAATATATTCTAACAGATTACACACAAAAAACGCAGTGGGTACAATCTTAAGTCCATTGTGGTGCATTAGGCAGGCCATTCAAATAAATTGTCTGCCTTTATGTGACACATGCCATAACACACTTTGAACACACTGCAATGGACCTGACCAGTGAGAATAGGCGCTTACAGTTCATTATCTTTAGAAAGCAGACACAGCCTGAGGCCTGCCCCCCTGTTGTCATCCTCCCTGCACAGATTCCCTGCTGATAAAGGCAGTACAAAACCTTGCAATGGAGGAAAAACATGAACTAAACTGACCCCATGTTAAGTCTACATGCAGTCAGATGTAAGCGGACTTGTGTCTGTATATATCCAATTACTTTCAATCTGTCACATTCAGGTCCACCAAAACAGAACTCTTTTCGTACCTAGATGGACTTGGAGGTAACTGCATGTACACGGATGCATTATTATACTGCCAACAGTTTGCACAGCGCTTTACAGTATAAGAAAGACATTACAATCACTATACAAATCAAGACAAGATGGTAAGGAGGGCCCTGCCTGTGAGGGCTTACAATCTAAAGGGTGGGTGGGGGATGCATGTCTGTTTACATCTGGCTGACCAAAGGGTTACATTGGGTTTCTGATCAGATTTTCCTGAAAAACTGACATGTGGATCTCATCGGACCACCCGTGTGAAAGGGGGCCTCATCCATTAGAATTTTCCAAATGTATTTTTGTTACACACAATTGTTTCTTGCACTTGTACACACTGAACGGTTTGTATTTGTTTAGACACAGTTGTATCTAATTTTTATGTGGTTTCTTGGAATAGTGTTTGGACCATTGACTGAAGGCACACACGAGATGCTTACTTTTTAAAATAGAATTTTATTGTATTTTCACATGATTAGAATATGTGGTAGTTTTTTTAGCGCTGCACTAAATGGTGATGTACATTGTAGGTGCTGGTGGCTTAGGAATGTTTTAATAGTTTGATTAGAGCATGAAAGGTACTCATTAAAGGAATATTTATTTTAATTTCATGACAATGCTGATGCAGAATTCCACTTACACATCACACTACTCCCTTCCTAAAGCAGGCTCGACTCACAAGTTTGTGATGTGTTAGAACATTTGGAAGTCTGCCAATGGCAGTGGTAGCAAAGGAGCAAAGCTGGAGGGGGTGCTTTGGCAGGTAAGTCGGTCTTAAAGGCATGCTTTCACATTATAGCAAAAGTTCTGGGCACCAGCAGTGGAGAACTCCGGGTGGACTCCTACGCTGTCCACCTTTAGGAGATCCATGAAAACTCACCTCTTCAGGGAAGCCTATCCCCCCTCAACAAAATAAATGTCCTTTTACTTCTTCCAATAACTCAATCTACACAATTATTACCTTTTGTATCACTTGCCCCTACTATTAGATTGTAAGCTATCATGAGCAGGGCCCCACAAACCTTATTGTACTGATATTGTAACTGCACTGTATACCCCGTTTTGTAAAGCGTTGCCAAACTTGGCGCTATATAAATCCTATATAATAATAATGAAAAAATGTGCCCTTGCAATGGGGGCTACCCCCGCACTGCATGTGTTAAGTCCTTGTTTTGTCTAGGGGGCTCAAATAAAGCGGTATTACTCACCTAATCCTGGCTCCCGTGATGGTCATACTCACTTCTTTCCTCCTCCACTCCAGCTATGAAGGGTGCCTCAGCGTCCTCAAGTCTAATGCATGTCTATGGATCTGCATAAGACAAAATGCTTTTAAAAGTCCTTAGACTACTGGAGCCCGGGGGAGAAGAGGCTGTGGTGAGGGTTTAGCAGCCTGGCAGGACCAAGGATCAAGAGAGTATATCTGCTTTATTGTCACTGTCTATTTAATACGAGCACGTAACCCTGTGCAGGGGTAGCCCAAACCAAACTTTTTTAAAACACGCAACATACACCGATCAGCCATAACATTATGACCCCCTACCTAATATTGAGTAGGTCCCTCCTTTGCCTCCATAACAGCCCTGACCTGTCAAGGCATGGACTCCACTAGATCTCTGAAGGCATGCTGTGATATCTGGCACCAAGCCATTAGTAGCATATTCTTTAAGTCTTGTAAATTGTGAGGTGGAGCCTCCATCTATCAGACTTGTTTTCCCAGCACATACCACAGATGCTTGATTGGATTGAGAGCTGGAGAATTTGATGGCCAAATCAACACCTCAAACTCGTTGTGTTCCTCAAACCATTCTTCAACCATTTTTGCAGCGTGGCAAAGCGCATTATCCTGCTGAAAGAGGCCGCTGCCATGGGGGAATACCGTTTCCATGAAGGGGGTGTACTTGGTCAGCGTCAATGTTTGGGTAGGTGTTGGTTTTCGAGCAGAACATTGCCCTAAGCATCACACTGGCTCCACCAGCTTGCTTTCTTCTCTCCTCACGTACATCAGTGAGCCTTGGCTGCCCATGACCCAGTTGTTGGTTCACTGGTTTTCCTTCCTTGCACCATTTTTGGTAGATACTGACCAGGAACACCCCACAAGAGCTGTGGTTTTGCAGTTGCTCTGACCCAGTTGTCTAGCCGTCACAATCTGGTCCTTGACAAAGTCTCTCCAATCCTTACTCATTTTTTCTGCTTTCAACACATCAACTTCAGGGACAAAACGTTCACCTGCTGTCTAATATATCCCACCCACTTCCAGGTGCCATTTTAGCGAGATAATCAACGTTGTTCACTTCACCTGTCAGTGGTCATAATTTTATGGCTGATTGGTGTACATCTTTGTATAGCAAGGATTGTAAATGGGTGACTGAGTGTCTTTATTATAAGAGCAGGTACGTGAAGTAATCAAATTGGAAGGTAGCAGACAAGTGACACATTTTGAATCAAATATTTCATTCGAACTGACCCCAGTAAATAGAATGAGGTATTATAACATTCTTACAAAATACATTTAATTATCTTCATTAAGGGATATACTTAGGGTTGCCACCTTTTCTATCAGCGAAACCCGAATACTCTAGCGGCGCACAGAAATGTTTTGGGGAGAATGAGTCGCGGCTTATTCATATATAAATAGTGCCACCCATTCATGAGTAAATATCACAGTCAAGACTATTTTCAGGTGTGTGTGTGGGGGGTAGCCCCTATCTTAATTTTGGTTGCCCCTGTCTGCCTGACATCATGTGTCCGGGTCTCATCTGCCATGAAACCCGAACACATCATTCAAAACCCGGACTGTCCGGGTGAATCCCGGACAGGTGGCAACCCTAGGTATACTGTTGTTGGGTACTCTTCATTTTCTCCAAGGCCTAATTCACTCTTATGTGTTTTTGTGCATTAAGCTGCACTACGTAAACATAGCCCATGCATTTAGAATGGGCTGGTAGTGCACCTCAAAACATGCTGCTTTTTTTTTTTTGTAATTCAATGCACAGGTGGTTCACATATGTGTACTGTGGTGCAATGAAATGCAGAGGGGTTGAGGTGGGCTGGTAAAGTGCATTCAAAATAAATGGAATTGCACAGCAGATTGTATGTTACCACAACATGTAGATGTGAAGCCACCCTAAAGGTGACCATACAACTGCCGATTATCGTACGATAATATCGCACGTCTTTTGTCTCCCGAGCAGGCTTGAAAAATCGCCGAGAATCATACGATTGTCGGCGGGTTAGTGGCGTTCTCGGGAGATAAATGCCGCACGGGCCAGTGTGCACAAGCGCACACTGTCGTGCGGCATTGCAGTCATCGGAAGCCCGCCCCTCAGCGTGACTGTGAGTGGCACCGCCCATACAGCCACATTATCCATCCACAGATCCTTTACCAGGATCTGTGAATGGATAAACTACATGTTCCATCAGACACCACAGCAAAGGGACTTGTGGTTCTCAATGTAGTCCATTCATTCTTCCTGCCGTCCATGTTACTGAGGGGTGGGCAACCCTGTCCCTCCAGCTGTGGTCAAACCACAAATCCCATGATGCATCTGGGAGCCATGCCTGTGTCTTGCAATGCCTCATGGGACCTATAGTTCCACAACAGCTGGAGGGCCAGAGTTGCCCACCCCTGAATGTCAGTACCTCCCTGTGGTCATGGACGGGAGGAAGAATTTGCAGGAGCCAGTGCATTGCTCCCAAGATCCACCAATACTAGTTGCAATGCTTTAGAAAGTGGACTTTACCTTTAACTTATTCTAAACATTTGTGAATTACAGTAGTTTTGTAATTGTAAATCAAATAGTTATTAAATCATATTACATTAAATCAAATTCCATCAGCGTAATAACTGAATTAAATCAGCCACAGAACCTCTAAAATTCAGATGTATTTTGAAAGGCAATATGTAGAATTGTCTCCAACAATGGGGGGAATTTATCAAGACTGGAGCAGACAGGATCTGGAGCAGTTGACCATGGCAACCAATCAGCTTCTCTCTTCAGTTTGTTCAGTTAGGCTTTAAAAATGAAAAATAGAAGCTGATTGGTTGCAGTGGGCAACTGCTCCAGTTTAGATAAGTTTCCTTCTGAATGCAGTGCTTTGGTAGAAATCAGTGAGGGGAATTTATCCCAACAGGAGCAAACAAAATCTGGAGTAGTTGCTCATAGTAACCAGTCAGCATCTATCTTTCATTTTCAAAGGTTAACTGAAGAGAGAAGCTGATCAGTATAGACAACTGCTCCAGATTCTGATCAATTGCCTCCAATTCATTTTGTCAGCAACAATGCATTTGGTCCTTTGTATTTTTCCTTGAGCTCCCACATAGCGCACATAGGTCTTTGATGAGTTCCCATGTAGAGCTATTTGATAATTGTATTTGATTGTAAGGTTTATGGTGTTTACATTGTTAGACGCACGTCATGTGTTCCTGGGTGGAGTTTAATGAGCTGAACATGTTTAGCCTGTGACTGAGCTGCCACAATGGAAGTATGAGTAGTCGGTAAAACAGTCCTACTAGTGGGATAACTGGTTTCTCCGGGCGGCTACATCGCATTCTATGTATAGGAGTGGCTTCACAAGACGTCTCTGAGCCTGTGTCTGCTGGTCTATGTGGTAAGTAAATAAAAAAACATTTTGCAGTATTGTTTTTTAGCCCTTTGGGGGCCATTGGCAAGATTAAAAAAAAGACTTGATGGGAGGTGGTATCTTTAAACTGCTGGTTTGTAAGGGGCAAAGTCCAGGGCTGATGCCTTTTTCCCCAGCGGATATTTCAAGCCCATAAAGTAATTTCATCTGCTAACCTAAGAGAAAAAAAAAAAGTTCAATGTTCCGTTGTAAACTTATAAAGGAAGGCCAACTAGCATAAGAAAAGTCATTCAAACAGTGAGAACGTCAGCTCAGTCTACAGATAATGATTTGTATACTAATATGAGCATTTATGTGACCGAGATTTCAAAGCATGGCACCCTAGACAGGCATTCATAGATCATGCCATCACTTTGAACTGTCTGATATACAATTCTGACTGTATAGCAGCACACTGTCGCCACTGGCAATAAACCAATCAATAGTCAGACCTTTTATCAATGTAGAACAGTCAGACCTCTGAAAAATCATTGCTGATTGCTTTCTGCAGTTTGCCTGCTGAAGTTATAAGATGCATCACAGGAATCAAACACAATAAAGACCATATCTTTCATTGATCGTTCCGACACATGACCTCTCTGATGAAGCTGGCAAGCTGAGCTTCATGGGTCAATCCATTAATACACATTAAGGGCTGGGGCATTGGGTCGTGTTGATCACTGCAATCCTAACGCAAAGACAGGGCAAAAAGTCTTGCTTTGTATAGGGCTTGTTCATAGGGTTGCCACCTGTCCCGGATTCACCAGGACAGTCCGGGTTTTGAGTCCTGTATGTGCTGTTTCTGGGTTTCAGGCCAGCTGAAACCCAGCTAAGCACATACAGGACTCAAAACCGTCAGTGTGAAATGTGCTATAAATGATAAGGAACTGTGTTTTATGGTGAATGTAATTGGTGGGCCATAGGGTTTATGTAGTGGAATATGGACAATTGGACAGGATATAAAATTACATTGAAATATGCACTTTACAAGGTGGCTGTGTGAGAGTGGGGGTACCCCACAGTAGTGTGCTGTAGGTTTAATGACAGATCTGTTGTTTTCAGTATACTATGCAAAGGTGTTTGTTATTTCTTTTTTTGTTTTCTACTTGTGTGTGTGTATATAAAGGGTATTCTTGCACATATACTTGCGGGTGCTTGCTAGTGCCATTTCCCCCTTTTAAATAGCTTTAAGCCTGGGGCTACGCTGGCAATGAAATGTTTATATTCATATGAGATTTAACTACTTTTTGACAGTTCTCATTACTGACTGATTGATTTTGTATGTACTGCAAACAAGATATTTGCCAACAAGCAGTTAAATCTCTCAGTAGCAATGAGATGTCATTTCTAGTTGAGCCCTAGCCTGAGGGGGTATACATAACATAGGACGGGCCAGTTTGGAATTCACTTCTGTTAAAGTGTTATTTTACACTGTGCCACCTAAAGGATATGTTCCATTGAGGATGGGAAAGTATTGCAAGTAATTCCACACCTGCTACTTAAACATATTAATGGAAAAATCAATATATTACTTTCTCTGCATGACATTACATGCTCTACTTCAGACGTGCTGTTGTACCTGGAGTTATTATATTGTAATGGCAGATGGAGATTTGAATTGGTATTGTAATTAAAATAGATACACAAGGCAAAAAGCCTCTTTAACCTTTTAGTCACTAGGTAAGAATAGAAAAGGTATTTAAAAGTCTTTGCCACAGATGTATTTCCCTGAGTACAGAACGCCAAATATCAATGGATATCTTTGACTCAATCTTGGATTGTATTTAACAATGCTGAAGACTCAAAAATATACACAGTGTCTCCATGTGGGAGGATATGCTCACTCCTATTTCTGCCACTGGGAGGCCTAGTCCCATGGTTCTCAACTGGTGGGTCTTGACCCAAAAGTGGGTCGGGACCCCATGTTCAGTGGGTCGCTGCATGCCTTCTAGTGCACTAGGTGAGAGGCTCATCAGCCTCCCCCCAGCTCCGCAGTGTCAGTTCTTGTGCCAAGCAGCCATTCAAAATATGCTGTCTGGCGTCAAGTGTCAGCTTAAGGTGGGGTGGGGGTATGGCTGCGAGGGAGCTCCATCCATACATGCATTGCTTACAGCTCCTATGCGTGGCAGGAGTGACATTCTGGCTCCTGGCACCTCTACAGGGAGTGCAAGGAAGCTGTACAAGCAATGCAACTATGAATGGAGCTCCGTCACAGCACAGCAGCCCACACTGAACCCTAAATGTTTTTTGGGGGGGAGTGTGAATGTGTGTGAGATTGTGTCTGTGGTTGTGTATATATCTGTCAGTGTTTTAATCACAAACTACCACGCAATTTCACCTACTGTTCGTTCTGGTGCGGGAGGTGCATTGTGTTGCCATTCATTTGAATGCCACCCCAAACACACCTCCTGCCCACAGTTTGATCGCTTGCACTGGAACATGCAGTACCGCAATGCCGTGCATTCCAGTGCGGCATGGTTTGGGTTGCGACTTAATGACCAAAGACAAATGTGGGTCCTGAGGTTATACAGGTTGAGAACCACTGGCCTAGACAGTATTGATTTAAAGTGGACCTTTAACCCAAGATTGTACTTTTATATGTCATGCAACCCTCCCCCTGCTATTTGGAAAAAAATGTACTATTATTTTTTTAAATTCATATGCCGCCTCTATGAATATCCCCCGCAAAAGGCACTGCAGAGTAAGGACACAGGGACAGGGAGCTGTGTGCATCATTGGAAGCTGGCTACCTGAATGAGGCCGCCAGCTCCTGATGTCTAAGGAGCACCAAGATGGTGGTATGAGACCCGGCCTGCGTCACATGAACAGCAGGTCTTGGCAGGACAACGCTGGATTCACTGGGCAGGAGAGTATGTGACTTCAGGGCAACACTCCACAAGTGGTAATAAAGAAAAAAAAGTGGGTTTTTCTGATGTACACATTATAATATTGAGCGCACATTCCGACTCCATAGAATACAGATATTATATGCAGGACATCTCTTTTCAAATCAGTCAGTATTGCACCGTTTCAATAGACCATTATTACTGCCCTTGTCAAAGTACCATCTGTTATATGTGTGTACATAGCTACGTACACTAAACTCTATGAGCTGTCACTACAAATGCTTGTGTAGAAACGTGTTACACAAATTCACATTCCCCCCATATTTCCTACACTTCAAAGATGGCAAATGCTATACCTACCAAGAGCAAGAGCAAGGGCCACTGGGCCACTAGAAAAATTCAGGGAGTTAAAAATGAACTATTGTCTTCTGGTCTCCTGAATATGAGCTTCTATGCTATAGCATAGACAAAGGAATACATGTATTGTGTTTGTGTAGGATGACTAGATTTGTATTCTCCCAAGGTGGCTTTGATGTTTGCCAGTGTGGAGGTGTATGGGGACTGTTACAATAACTGTGTAGCCCACAGTTCACCTTAGCTCACCTTAAAATCCAATTGTATCTAAAGGCAAAACTCTTTTTTGATGTCGTAGGGAAGAGTTAGAACCCCTGTCAGGTTTATGTTGCTGTATGTGCACCAGCTAGGAAGAGTCATCCTCTGTCCTTGTGATCAATGTCACTGGGGCTAAAAGTGATGAAGAATCCAAAATTTTACACTTGACACCAGAACAAAAAAGGAAATCTTCCAATGGATACACGTGTTCTTTGGACCACTGTTTAAAGTGGACTTTTAGCCCCTTTCACTCAAAAATCATCATTACATTCATTAGTTAAATATTGTTTTTCCACTTCCTGATTGAGTAAGGCACTGATGATGTAGCACTGGCCTCACAGATGCATCCTGGGAAGGCTCAATCACCAGTGCCTTTCTAGAAAAAATATCACCTGTAAAATCTCGTGAGATCCTGGGGGAACAGGCATTTTTCCCCCTAAGAATATGTGCACTATTACATGTTCTAGGCATGGGCAGACCCAGACTTCCAGGAAGTAAAGGGAGATGCATTAATCTGCCCTTAGTAAAAATGTCCACTGTGAGAAGAATGGGGAGGGAAAGAAATAAAAAGCCTGCAATTATCTATAAGTATCTGTTTTGTAGATTGCCATTACTAATACTTGTAAATGTGTGTTTGGTGTCATTTTTAAAGGAGAACTATAGGGTTAGGGCTTTTCCCCACAGTTCTCCCAAGGGTAACGGTAGGGCACAAACTAGGTCCTCCCGTCACCCTAAGCTCAGTGGCCCTTGCTCTTGGTAGGTATAGCATCTGCCATCTTTGAAGTGTAGGAAATATGGGGAGATTGTGAAAAAAAGCTACAGCTCGCGGTATACTGAGACGCTGCAGCTGAAACGGATCCTGACAATTATGTCCGGATCCGCCCAGCTGTGTGAGTGACAGCTGGCTCTGCCTATCTAGAGACAGAGCCAGCTGTACCCGCCCCCTCCCCTGTCCGTTCCACCAGTCAGCGCGGGAGGATCGGAGAGGGGGGAATCCAGCCCCTCCCCTGTCACGGCTCTCTGCCGTGACAGGATCGAGAAGTGAGCGAACGCCGGTATGTGTTTGCTCACTTCCCGATCTACTGAGCCGACCTGTGACAGTTTCATTGTCAAAGGTCGGCTAGAACTATGAGGATGAGTAAAAAGCACTCACCTCATAGTTCTCCTTTTAAGAGGAGTGTTATCGAGAGCCATCTGCACTCCATACAGCTTTGTGACCTTGTAGATAACAGCGGTTATATCACAGATGGCGCCGTGCAGAACATCCATTAGATCACCAGCACACACAAAGGGCTTCTTGTTTTCCGTCGTTTTATTAATCATGTCACAGAAACATAATGTGATGTGATATAATAAATGTACAGGTAACAAGAAAGCCCCTTGTGTGTACTGGTTCTCTACTGGATTTTTAAGAGAAGAGGGATGGACAATCTGTTGAATGCGACACCGATGGCCATTCCCTAGTGGAGGAAAAAAAATGTTTTGGCTTTAAATCTACTTTGTCAGTCCTTCTTCCCTTTTTTTTTTTTTTTTTTTTTTTTTTTTTTGTGTGGCTTGTTAACACCAGATGATCAGATGTGTTGTCATGCATTTTGCTACATTTTTAAATGCAGCAATATACATAGACAATAGCATACATTTACGCCATGCCTTAGAGCAGGGATGTCCAAACTGCAGCCCCACAGCTGTGGTGGACCTAGGAATCCCATGAGGCTAAGCAAGCTTCCCACAGCCACAGACATGACTCCCGGAGAAAGATGCTTCATGGGATTTGTAGTTTCACCACAGCTGCAGGGCCAGAGTTTGGACATCCCTGCCTTAGAGTGTGTGACTTGCGTGTGTTAACTTGCACTTTGCCATTCATGTAACACATAGAAATGCAATGCGCGGTAAAGGCATTGAGTTAAAGGAGAACTATGGGGTTAAGGCTTTTCCCCATAGTTCTCCTTAGGGTAACAGGAGAACACAAACTAGCATCCTCCCGTCACCCTAGTCTCAGTATACCGCGAGCTGTAGCTCGCGGTATACTGAGACGCTGCAGCGGATCCTGACAATTGTGCCGGGATATAACCAAGCCTTGGTGTGCACATCGTCCATGTTACAAAACTCCATGTAGGTTTAGTAAACTGTTGAAAGGCTGTGGAAATACACCGTGGACAGCTTTATTCGGCATCCTTGCATATAGGTACCAGTTGGTGGGTCACAAAACAAATAAGTTTGTCCGACTTTGTATAATATTTGAATGTCCGTATAAAAAAGGTTATAATTTGTTTTGTATTTCCTTTTTTTTTATTCAAGATCTCCACAGGGAGAAAATGGCACCTGCTGCCAGAGACTTTTCTAGCCGGCATGAACCTCTCCCATCTCAAAGACCTGACAACACTGCCTTCACTCAGCAGAGACTTCCTGCCTGGCAGCCACTCTTGTCTGCGAGTATTATCTTGCCGCTGTTCTTCCTTGCAGGGTTATCTTTTATAGGAATTGGCATTGGATTATATTATTCATCCAACACCATCACAGAGTCTGAGGTAAGTAAAGACTCAACTTATAAAAGTATGTGTTAGTATTCTTACTCTGTGTTTTTCCTTTTGTGACCTATTTATTTCAAGTTGATCCCTACAGAAAGCTTGGGTTTAGGTAAAATTAATGAGGAAGAGTTTCATGGATCTCTGGGTCTTTATTTTCCCTCTGAGAATCCAGCAGCATGGGCAAAATATTAGTAAGTCCAAATCCAATGGCCAGTCCCTATCACGTACTAAACACTGATACTATAGGGGTCAGAGAACGATCACTTTAATACAACTGGATTGAGTGTGCATTGCAATATATGCAGCCCAAGAATCACCATTTCTATGCAAAGTTTGCTAGATGTGTATTGGAGTGTGTAGCTCCAATACACATGTAGGTAAACTGAGAACATTAGCTGTTGTAAGTCACATCACCCCTGTAGCAGTAATATTTAATTTGAAGTATAAAGCAAAACTTTTTTTTTTTTTAACCTTTTTGATGGGGTAAGGGAGGTTTATAAACTGTCAGCTACCTATGCCATCTGTGTCACATTGGGGAGATTTCCCGTCACTTCTTGTCCAATAGCCACAACAGGAAGTGAGAGAAAATCCCTTCAAAGTGAGTGAAATCTCTGGTGGTCAGCAGGGTCACCAGAACTAGTGTCCCCATTGGAAACTTTCATGTTCAGTGATAATGATCACCAGGACAAATAGAGAGGGTGAATCTCCCAAATGAGGACACAAACAGCGAAAAAAAAACCTTACAGGTGTTCTAATCCCTCTCCTCCCCAAACCCAAAATAAAAAGTTTTTGCTTCATTGTTATGTTTCAGATTAGTGAAGAGTAGCTCTCATCCACCTTTGTAGGTCTGATCCATTGGCACTGTCAATTTATTGCAATGCATTTGATTTATCAGGTTACGTAGAGGCAATAGATGTGAACTAGGAATCCCTGTGTTTTTATTGTAAAATTTGCTTGAAATATGTGTTTTAGTATCTGAAGCTTAACTAAGAATATTAGGGATATATCATATAATATTGGGGTCCCCAGTTACCCAGTGGATTAGTAAGAAATAGGAATTTCTGTTCCTAAGATTACATGGAAAATGTACTCTAGAGAGAGGAACCAGGTAGTTGAGCTCACAGCAGAGTCCTGGATATCAATATAACAACAGGACTGGGTTGGAGGTCTGACTGTTGGTGTTAGTGATAACAGAAATGTTGCAGGGGAACAAATCAGATTGAGCTGCAGCAGGTTCAACTAGTTGAGCCAATGCATTCAGGATGTGTGCTTCCTGCCTCTAGCCTATGGGCTTCCAGGATGTAAATGCATGCAGAGCACACAGGCAATTTTTAGGGTTGGATTCCTTTACTTTGTGCTGTAGTAGAGAGTAAAAAAAAAAATCTCATCATCCACTACTCCAATAAGGAAGACAATGGGACAATGAATCCAACAATTACCTGCATGTTCTGCTTGTATATAAAATAAAGGGGGGTAATCACTGGCCCTTCCCACTAACAGAATGAGGATCTAAGGATTGGAAACAGGAAACTCACCACTCAGGTCTTCCCTATTAGGCTAGTTAAAGTGTATGCATACCAACTTTTGTTTTCAGTTTTGGAAAGAATAGGGAAAAACTAAAACCCATGTCGGTTACATTTTTGTTGTAGTCTGTGGCCCATTTGGGAGATTTCCTTCACTTCCTATCATCGGAGGGAACAGAAAGTGGAATCTCTACAATGTAATGGAAATGTACTTCTTAGGCAATTGTCCCTTGAACATGTGTTCCCATGGTAAGATTTCCTCACTATTCCTGTTCTGGAATAGTAAATCTCTATTTTGGTGATAACCAACAGGACAAATAGGAACGTTGACTCTCCCCAGTGGGGTCAAAGGCAGCAATAAAAATCTGACCGGGTTCTAACCTTTCTCCACTCTACCCGAAACATAAAAACAAATTGGTTTTAAATACACTAAACTTGACCCCTTTACTAGTTCACTGGACATCAGGATGATTGCAGATATAATTAATTAACAGACATCTGCAGATAACAAGCATTTACATGCAGATCAGCAAATAATGTATAGCTAAAGGAGAACGATGGGGTCAGGGCTTTTCCCCATAGTTCTCCTTAGGGTAACGAGAGGACACAAACTAGCGTCCTCCCGTCATCCTAAGCTCAGTATACCGCGAGCTACAGCTCGCGGTATACTGAGACGCCGCAGCCGAAGCGGATCCCGACATCGATGTCGAGATCCATCCAGCTGCGTGAGTGACAGCTGGCTCTGCCTATCTAGAGGCAGAGCCAGCTGTACCCGCCCCCTACGTTCCGCCAGTCAGCGCTGGCGGATCGGAGCGGGGAGGGGGGAATCCAGCCCCTCCCCTGTCACGGCAGAGAGCCGTGACAGGATCGAGAAGTGAGCAAACACCGGTATGTGTTCGCTCACCTCCCGATCTACTGAGCCGACCTGTGACAGTCTCATTGTCACAGGTCGGCTAGAACTATGAGGTGAGTGAAAAGCACTCACCTCATATTTCTCCTTAAGGAATGAGGCATTTCTTCAACGATTAAGTGCAATACTTTTTTACAATCTAACATGGTTTTTTTTTTTATAGCATGACTATACTGGTACAAGCACAGATCATAATTGTTACCTATGTGCTATTAGTGGCTTAAAAAGTTGCAGCTGCAATATCACTTTCAACTTGACATCTTTATTTGCGGTAAGTCTAACAATTTGAAATTGGGATTTTTATACCTATTGGTCAGTTAACTGAGAAAGCTTGATAGATTCTGACAGATGCATTTGAATGTTAATGTAAGCCTTTCCTAAAAGCAATATGGAGGCTGTCATTGTTCTACAATTGCTAGCTGCCTGGCTGTTATATTAAACTTGTACTTTCGGAGTAAGTGACCTGAAAAGTATGCATATCGGAAAAGTTGAAGCAAAATCCTTATCAGCATACAGTACTTGTTAATTGCTAGTGACTGAGTTTTGAAGCAAGAGGATCAGCATGACAGCCAGGCAACTAGGGTTTGAGGAATGAAAAGGTAGCATCAGTAGCTTCCCCATTCCTCTCATAAAAGGCTTTATTAGGACTCATACACACGAGCTTTTGGGGCTGTGCAATGGAAAATTTGGGCGTATTTCCCTGCCTGGGAACCATAGATGCAGCTTACAGCCAGCCATAGAAATCAATGGCTTCACGTGGTACTTGTGTAAACACACGCATGTGTAAAGATGTACGCCTCTGTATGCAGACAGTGAAATGGATCTGAACCACAACTGGGTTCACACAAGATGTCTGCTGCTGTTCCTAATTATGTTGTGTTCGGTGCACCAGAGAAATCACAAACTCAGAAGTTAAGGTTTATGAAAGTTCTAATTTATTCAGGGCGGTCTCTCTCTTTTATACACAGATAACAGGAGAGTGTTTGTCACACATATGCCCACATCTGTTATTTCTAAATGTCTTGTACTATTGGGTGAACTAGAGGAGCTGTTAGTTAAAGTTTTTTGTGTCTCTCGCTAATTGGTTAGTCAAAGATATCTTCTGCCCGTAGCATCCTCCCTCGGCATTCCTTTCATGCATCCTCGGCGCGCTCCCGAATACAGGTTATATCTACTGGTTACGCATAGCAACGCTAAAAGCTGAGTAAGGAAAGACACAAAGCTAGGAAGCAAATGAAACAAATTCAAAACATAGAAAAGGACATTTTCTTGATATGATCCATATTCCTTCACAACAGTCTGCGTCCAGGGAAGTAGGTCTTTATGCATGTGAGTGTTTACGCAAGTACTGGCGTTGACGAGACTATAACCACTTGCAACCACTGATTTGTATAGGCAGCTGTAAGCAGCATCTGTGACTCCCAGGTGGGGAAAAATGCTTGAATTTTATGTTGTACTGTCCCAGGTGCCCATGTGCATGAGCCCTTAAGGGCCTGTTCACACGACATCCGTTTTGTGTGCTGACCGGATCCGTACGCTGCTGCACTCAAAATGCATCCCAATGTATCCCTATGTGTTTTATGGGCTACAGTTCTCACGTGCGCAGTCCGTTCAGCTTACGACAGAAAAAATACTGCATGTCACATTTTGTCCGGTCCCGAAACGCATGAAACGAAAACGCAACGAGGACGGAAACGCAATGCAGCTAAGGAAAAAAGAAAAAAAATTGTATTCTTGCTCCACTTATGATGTTATCAACGATAGACAGACAGGTTGGGGTAGAGGTAACGACATGAACTGCAAACATTTGGAACATGCCAATTACCTTGCCATGGACATACGAGTAAAGGAAAAAAATGTATCCGGGTGACCTCGCAAATCCTCATACAAACTCCAGAACTGACCCTTGGAGTCCCGGAGGCTCAAGATCGGGTGTACCCAATAACGACGTCTCCTGCGGGCTCGTTCTCTGTAGATTGCTGTAGACAGCACCATCAACATGCCTGCAAATATGTGATACATGTCTGATCACCAGCTTTACATACACAAAGGGAAGTAGATGTTCCGAGAGGGCTGAATCTGCATACTGACAGCCCCTTGGCTAAAAATAAAATAAAAAAATTAACTGTCAGCATCCGGACCGAAAACGCGTCAAAAACGCACTGCATCAGCAGCTCCATGTCTGCTGATCAGGACCTGATCTCATGTGAACAGGTCCTAAAAGAATGACCACAAAGTTATTCCATCATGTTTATTAACACTTGTGATCATCTGTTAAAGGAGAACTATGGTGCAATGTTTTTTGCCCATAGTTCTCCTCAGGGTCATGGGAGGACATATACTGTGTCCTCCCATGACCCAAAATTCCGCTATATGCTGAAAGCACCACAGCCAGGACGATCAAGATCAGGATCAAGAAGTGAGCGAGCAGTGGTATGTTTTTGCTCACTTGGATCAGAGCGGGGAGGGGGAAATCCCTGTGGGGAGCGGTGACTGACAGTTGCCGCTCTCTACAGGGAGATGATCAAGAAGTGAGCGAGCAGTGGTATGTTTTTGCTCACTTCCCGATCAATAGATCGGGAAGACAGTGTGACAGTTTTATTGTCACGTGCCAGCTTTAACTATGGGATAAGTGTGCCCTTTGGCTAAGATCAAGTGTAGTATCTGTTTTTATCAGTTGCCGGAGGGCAAAGGACATGGTCGCCTATGTAGAAAGGTGGACTGTGGCTTAGTACCCTCTGGTGTAATTGGTGGGTGTCGGATGGGGTACAGTCCCTCCAGGTTAGATTCTGGTCTGGTGCTGCTGGACTTGTCACCGGTGGTAGGGATGGATCCTGGATGGCACTACCTTCTGATGGGAATGGGTGCGAAGCTTGGTCTGGCTGGAGGGTTGGGAGGCGGCAGAGCCCGTGGTGTTGTGCCCCCTGGGGGTGGCGTCCCAGGGGTGCTCAGAAAGTCACTTGGGTGTGGGACCCCACTTTGACTCACTGATGCGCTTGGTCACACACCACCTTGCATATTCTGCACATCACCTCTTGGACAGGCCTTACGGCTAGTCCGGGGGAATATTTTTGGGTTGATGGGGTTGGGAATCGAGGTCCCTTCTTTATTGAAGGACCAAGGACCCCAGTACACGTTTTTGTGTGCTGTGATTTCACGGTTCACTTTTTTTGTTCACAGGGGGAAGTTGTTTTTCGATGCATGTTCCACGGGCTCTTAAAAAAAAAAAAAATAAGTAATTCACTCACCCCATAGTTCTCCTTTTAAGGTAGCGCTAAATGAGCCAATCCATACTAGAGCATCATTTATCGAGGGTGGCACCGGACCAATTGTGGATCTAATTTTTCAAAGCATTTGATGGAAGAACATTCTGTATTCCTTTCTCGCCAACCATTCACCCTGACCTTTTTTATTATTGCATTATTATTTAAAATAAACTAGTATAAAGGATTAGTAATTGAAAAAAAGTACTTGTGGGTTTAGGCAATAATTTTATTCTTATTAATCCTTGGTGCACCTAACTGGGGGCATAAAAGGAGTATGGTCTCTGCCTACATACTTTGTGAAAAGGGTGTCTGTCCCTCTTTTTCATCTGAGAAATTTGGGACGTATAGGTAATGCAAAGCTGCCCATAGTCAATAGAGGGTAGTCAGATGAGTGGGCATGATTCAACCACTCAACTACCCTGCAGAGCACTCAACAAACAAGCTAAATCAGCTCTGCCCAACCTAGCTGGTTTGTGTTACTAGGGGAAGGAGGAGGGCAGTGCAGACCGACACTGAAACAGCCGCTTAGGGAAGAACAACAGGAATGACAACAAGCATTGCCTTACTGATTGTTACTTAAACAGCAACCACCTGGAAGCATCAGAGAGGACCCACAAACATAGCATAATCTCCTGCGGGCTGAACCGGAAAAAATATAACCGATTCCTTCATCCACACTGAGCAGCGTGGATGGATGAATCTCCAGCTGAGTTACTGTATGCCACTGTTCGAATATCTGAACAATGACGGCAGCTGAAGCTTTGTGAATGCGTGTTTCACTGTGGACATTGTGAAAACCCATCAATCATTAGTAGGAAAACTTTGCTGGGAAGATTAGTTAATAATAGAACGAAAGAGATATGTTTCAACTCTCCAATCCTACAGTAGCTGTTTGTATTATCTGTGCTTTAGTTAGTATGTTCTAAAAAAAACTATTATTATAAATGTAGAATAAATCATTGAAATGTTATTCAGGTTTGAAAGTATTAAAAATAGAGCATCATCTTAATATCTCCTTATTTCATTCAAATAGGGTCCAGTCTTTATGTACTATGAACTAACAAATTACTATCAGAATCATTATCGCTATATGATCTCTAGAGACGATAAGCAGTTAAGTGGATTCCTTAATAATCTAAAGGTAAGCAGTCTTGGCTAGACTAATGCTGTCATTACTGTTACAACTGAGCTTATTTCTGCTAATTACTGCTTATGCTGGCATTTTATTGCATTATCACAAAGTATTAGTTTTAGTAAATAGACTGATTTTTGAACTGTATTATTCTCTTACTGATAGGAACGGGTGTTGGACCTTTGCAGTGTAGAACGTTTGAACTAAAATGTATACTGGCTGCTGTTTACATCCCTCAGCTTCAAATCAAGCCTCCCTCTCTTAGTTCTGGGGGACTTTTAATAACCTCATAGATTATGTTTTTGATAAATTTGAACCTACATTTCTGAAGGAGGTAGCATGGGTAGATGTTTGGAGACCTCTCCATTCTAATGAAAAGCAATTTGCATGCTTTTCAAAAACATATGGCATCATGTAACTTCTGTAAAACGTCTAATTTTTTACATTTCTCTCAGGTTACCTATGATTTTAATTACCCTAAAATACTATTTACAACAGAACCTTTTTCTAGAACATATTCACTCTGCAAGAGAATAAATCAGGTTCCCAACCATTTAGTTTTGAATGCAGCAAGTTTCTTATACCACACTCTAAATAAAGGGGTTTTCGATCACAGAATTATAAAAACAAATCCGGTAAAACTGCACAAATTATTAGAGAGAATTCCTGGCTCTGCACTCATCAGTGCTTTCAAACTAATACATAACACCAAAATATGTATTTTATCTAAATGATTAAAAAGTAATGCTAATTAAATACTGTATATTCAGGAAGATTGTATTTATTGCTTAAAAAATTACTAAAAATGTTGAGAAAAAAAAAGTTTTTTTTCATTATGTTAGGAAACAATTATTACCCAATTTTTTTGTTAAAATATAAAAGACGGGGTCACGTCGGGTAAATTACTGTCCCAAAGCCTGTAGCACACCTTACCGGAATTTCCATCAGTGACTGTGGGTGCTCGCAGTGACCACGGATGGCGCCGTCATCGATACAACAACATAGAAGATGTCACCAGCCACCAGCACTCCCGCACGACAGAGATCAATATGTCAGTGCAAATCCATTTATTGATGCTAACAAAGTACTCAGAGTAACATCAAGCGCTTTCGGGGCCGCAGAGGTTCCCCTTCATCAGGCTCAGATTTTTGTTTACTCTGAGCCTGATGAAGGGGACCCTGTGCGGCCCCGAAAGCGCTTGATGTTACTCTGAGTACTTTTTTAGCATCAATAAATGGATTTGCACTGACATATTGATCTGTGTTGTGCAGGAGTGCTGGTGACATCTTCTATGACGTCCGGGTAAATTGACACCAAACATGTCAAGCCTAAAAATTGCACGTACCCGCAAAATCGCAAAAATATCGCACTGATTAGGTCACATCGCACTGATGTCCCTAAAAGAGGCTCATACTTCACAGGCTTGTGTGGAGCTTTTCCATGCTGAAAGATCCAAGCTACAAACGCCCTGGTGCGAACGTGGACTAAGTGCTTGGGTAAAAGTCTAAAGACGTCCTTTGCTGGGCAATGCATATTTGTCTGATCTGGATTCATTATTGAAAAAAAGTTTGAGTTTAAACTACTTTAAAGAGGGGAAGGAAGTGAGGGGAACGCTTCCCAACGGAGGCACAAACAAAAACAAAAATCTGAAAAGAGGTTCTAACCGTTCCCCGCTGCATCCAAAACTAAACACAGTGGCTGGGGTTAGGTTTTAAAGTTTATTTTGTGTAATATAATTTACTTTAGTATGTTGCCACTTTTATTTACTGATTTTGGTAATGTAAATGGTAATTATTAGGTTTATTTTTTGATCTTTGTAGAATCCTGTAAATGAATGTGCACCATATAGAGTGGATTCTAAGCAAACGCCGATTGCTCCCTGTGGTGCTATTGCGAACAGCATGTTTAATGGTAAGAATTCTGCATTACATATAAAGCTGCTTATACAGATGCATTACAGCCTTTTTAATTAAATGGGTTGCCAACCCAATACATGCATTGTGGCACACTGTGTCCTGTTGTGAACAGGCGCTAAGGCTGCATGATAGGGTCTTTATCGTAAAACTTTCTTCATCCATTTCAAGCAGCTGTATTTTTCATATATTTTTGTCCTTTTCAGATTCTTTTACCTTGCATTACTACAACCGCAGTGGAACTTATGAGGAAGTTCCATTAACTGGTAAAGGGATTGCATGGTGGACAGATTACAACATTAAATTCCGGAATCCAACTGATGGCACTCAAAACCTCTCTAAGATCTTTGAAGGTGATTTGAAAACAGAAATGGCAAAAAAAATAGAAGTATACATTCATCTATACTTTATAATTAGATTTACAGTCTGGGAGTATGTATGCACTTCTGTTAGCATGTAGCCTTATGTTTAATGTGATTTATGCATAAAAAAGGACACAGAAGGGTGTAGTTATAAACAAAGCCATTCATCCTGGGCATGAATGTTCTTCGGTGCTAATGGCCACTAGATGCTGCTGAAGAACATAGGAAATTAATATGTATTTCTTGTGATCCTCATCTCCATCTACTGGCAATAATCCAGTATTGCATTATGTTCTACTTGGAAAGAAAATATACTAAGCACGTGTTTTTTGGGTCTTTATTTCCTCCATTCACACAGATCGTACTTTCATTTAAGCTTTGACAGACAAACGTTTTTTTTTGTTTTTTTTAAATACATACTTATTTTGGGAGGGAAAGGCTGCTGTATTTATTTATTTTGTTGTGAATTGAAGCCTCTGATTTTCACTCTGCTCCTTGCATAGTAAACCAGTTACATAGATATATATCTATATAGATATAATTAAGGCAGATACAACACCCATTTTATTTGTATTTTATTGTAATGTGATGCAGTGATTTTTACATTTGAGTGATTCTGATTTGGTAAATGGTGTTTTCCTAAATACCTCCAGGAACAGCAAAGCCTATCAATTGGGAAACACCAGTGTACAACCTGTCAAATTTCTCGTATAATACGGGCTTCCTAAATGAAGACTTTATAGTGTGGATGAGAACGGCAGCATTGCCTACTTTTCGGAAGTTATACCGCAGAATTGAGACTGGAAACTTTACAAATGGCCTACCTGCAGGAGAGTACCAACTTAGGATAACGTACAGTATCCTTTTCACAGAAACTGGAATAACGTTTGCGTGCAGTTCTATCTTTTTTTTTTTTTCAACTTTAAAGCTCAGCTTATTTTGTTTTGGATAGAGTGGGGAAAGGTTAGAACCTCAGCAGATTGAAGGAGCCAGATGGAAAATCCTTGGCTAAACTTGTAGCCAATCATCTCCCTTCCGACCGGCATCGCTTGATCAGCAGATCGAAGGAGCAGGATGGAAAATTCCAGGCCTATTCCTCAATCAATGCTCCATGAGCAGTGATGGAGGGATCTGTTATGTTTTCTTTGTTCAGCCCCCATGCTGAACAAAGAAAAGGTTATACCCAGGTTAAGAAAGGGTTAGAATGTCTGATGGTTTTTATTGTTTCTGCCTTCCTGTCTTGGTGACAATCCCTATCCCCATTTCATGTCCTGCTGTCAGAGGTACAGGAAGAGAGATAATCTCCCCAAGAGGGTCAAATATAAAAAATATCTTATTCTATAAAAAAAAAAAAATGATCAAAAGGCTTAACTATTTTTTTTTTTTATGTCCAAGGGTAACCAAAACCTTTGTGAACCTTTGTGGCAACTTTTTTTTTTTGCATTTGTGGTAATTTTGTTTTTAAAAATACCCTTTAATATATATTTTTTTGTAATAAGCAGAAAAAGTGACAAAAATGCAGGAAAAAAAAGTTTTAATTTTCTTAATGTGACACCTATTTACTAACACCTACTACTCCAAATAGAGTATGTTTCAGATTTCTAGAGATTGGTAATTTTCTAGTACAAAAGCTGAAATTCACCTGTCGGGGGCTGGGACGGTTAAAAAAAAATAAAAAAATAGTAGGGCTATCTTGAACCTGCTAAATAAGAAAAAGATGCTCTGTTGACTAGATTTCCCTTGAAACATCAATTCGGAGTTTAAACTAAAATTAAAATACTGTACAAACATTTATTTTTCTACCTCCTGG